GAGCGCTTCAGAGGATGGTGTGCAGGTCCCAGGTTCATGTTTTAAAAGCAGCCTGGGGAATTATGGACCATTCACACACTTTCAACCTTAACATACCTCATAGAGTAGTTGTGTGGATCATATGAGGGAGAGGAGAATGATGTCAGCTGCTTTGGTTCCCACTGCAGGGAAAGACTGCCCTTTCTGAGGCTGGGCGAGGGGAATGTAAACCTGAAGACAGACAAGCAGATAACGGTAGGCTGATGGTTGCCAAGAAAGGACATAGGGTTGCCAATTCCAGGTTGGAAATTCCAGGATATTTTGGAGATGAAGCCTGCTGAGGGTGGGGTCAGAGGAGGAGGAGGAACAGGGGTACCTCAGACAGATACAATGCCATACTCCCCACCCTCCAAACAAGCTGTTGCCAGTCTCCAGGTGACAGCTGGAGAGCTCTTAAAGCTCTGGTGCTAATTCAAAGTGTTGCAATTTTGTGTTTTGGAAAATCTTTAGGAATTGTTTGGTGCATTTACGATGGGGCACCCACCCAGAGCCTCTGGCATTTTCTCACTCTGCTGGCATCAAAACCAATTTAAGGCAAAATAAGAGGCTACTGAGAGGGGAGGAGATAAAGTTGCCAGCTTCAGGTATGGTAATTCCTGGAGATTTGAGGAGTGGAGCCCGGAGAGGGGGACCTCAGACAGGTACAGTGCCATAGACTCCACCCTCCAAACCAGCCATTTGCTTCTGGGGAACTATTGCTGCCAATCTTGGCCCAGCAGCCATCAAACCATTCTCTTCAACCCCCTGCTGTGCAGCTGACTTTCCCCTAGGGTTGCCAATCTCCAGGTGGGACCTGGAGATCTCCCACTGCTACAATTGATCTCCAGATGACAGAGATCAGTTCCCCTAGAGAAAATGACTGCTTTAGGAGGGTAGACCCTATGACATTATACCTGCTGAGTCCTTCCGCCCCCCCCCAATGCTGCCCTCTACAGAATCCACCCCCCAAAACTCCAGGTATTGGAAGGCCGATGCCTCCGTCGCCTGGCTGGAGTGGCCGCGGGGGGGTTGGAGTCGGGCGGCCGCTGGCAGGAGCCGCGGGCGCCCGGGCCAAGATTGGGGGGGCAAGGCGGGCGACAGAAGGCCGATGCCTCCGTCGCCCTGCCCTCTACAGAATCCACCCCCCAAGCCTCCAGGTATTTCCCTCCTTAGAGCTGGCAACCCTACATTCCCCTCAGTGCCTGTTGGTAGGCATCTAAGCTTGGTCCTGTCACCTACTTTGGCCTTTGGGAGAAAACACATTGGGGCCAGTCCTGATAGGGTTGCCAACTCCAGATGGGAAATTCCTGGAGACTTGAGGGATGGAGCCTGAAGAGGGTGAGGTTTGAGGAGGGGTGGGACCTCAGAAGGAGATGGGGTTGCCAACTCCACCCTCCAAACCAGCCATTTTGTCCTGGGTAACAATTGCTGCCAATCTCCAGGTGAGGGCTACAGATCACTCACAATTACAACTGCTCTTCAGGTAGCAGAGATCAGTTCCTCTGGAGAAAACGGTGGACTCTGTCATTATACCCTGCTGAGGTCACCACAGCAAATTGACACTGTTTGCCCAAAGCCAGAGCACTCCCCCAGAGCCTCTTTCTAGATCTCGTTGTATTGTTTTCACAACGGGCTTTACTGCTAGTGTAAGTAATAAGTGAAAACATTCTGCCATTTTTGACAATGCTCTGTATTCTTAGGTGCCTTCTCCTTGCTTTCAGACTTCTTCAAAGCCATTGGACAACTGCTGGTTTAAACTGGCAGAAACCTTTGTTTAATTTTTGTTCTGGGACCCAAATTGACATTTCTCTCTCATAGATATATTAAAATATTTAGCTCAGATTTTTACAAGGAAAAAAAATAAGTAGGAGCCAATCTGGGTGAAGCTACCACTTAGTGCCTAAGCCTCACTGCTTCGAGGTATCTCTGGAACTGTATACGTAAGAAGGAATCCCATTTTTTTCAAAGAGGCAGCTTGAAAATCAATAGTGCAGGGAGTTCCTGGACCTCTTTTATATTTGTAGCAACAATTAGGCTTTTGTCACCTGCCAGTAACCTTCAAGTTGGAAAGAACTGAGCTGATAATAATGAGGGAGGTCACAGTGAGTCTGTAGCCAGGCCTGGCACCTGGAGGCTGCTTTTTCAAAGCTATCCAGTTATTCATATAACCATCTTTTTCAAGTGTGTGTGTTTTCAGTGGTATCGGAAGCTACTGCTGTGGAACAACAGGAGTGACTTGCTGTTAGTGTGGCCCTAACCCTGATCCAGAAATAGTAGTTTGTGTTTACATACAACTGCAGGATGGACAGAAGCCCTTACTGCATGAAAAAAATATATTGGGGGGGGGGGATCATGCAACTCAAAACAATACAGATTTTTAAAAAAATGCTTGAATGTTAAAAACAATCCGATGTGGTAATAAGACTTGCACTGTGTTTTAAGGGCTGCACAATAAATAGTTGGTATACTCTTTACAGAGCTGCTTGAATGGCCCATTTTAGCCCAGTCTCATCAGAGCTTGAAAGCTAAGCAGGGTTGGCCATGGTTAATACTTGGATTGGAGACCACCAAGGAAGACAGAGGTTGCTATGCAGCAGAAGGCAATGGCAAACTACCTCTGCTTGTGTGTTGCCTTGGAAGCCCCTGGATCCAGGGGTTGCTGTGAGTCGGTTGTGGCTTGACAACACACAGTTATTTTACTGTTTACATATTCCTATATTGTACTGAAATGTTTGATCTTAACCTTCTTTAGGCATGGTGCAGGAGAAGCTTATTAATCACAAGTGATGGCACTACATCCCCACAATACCCGATTGTACTGTTGCAGCAGTGCTTGTCATGCTGCTGTGAGCTGTTTCAGCCTTTTTCAGGTACTGCTGAAATCGCCAAAACCATTTTGACTACAACATGTAACAGGAACATAAAGGAAGCCTGTGTACAATGGCTGTGGAAACGTTAAGGTCTGTACTCAGCCAGTGAGTTCATAAAGACAGTTGCTAATGAAGCACTGAAGGGGTCTTGGCTCTAAAAGGCATAAGCCAAATCTCATGATTTAAGAGAGGTTGGCTCTAGTTCTTAAAACTTTTGAGGAGGTACTGACCTGTACTGTATATATCTTGGGATTGCTGTGGAAAGAATGTAGGCAGGAAGCTCCAGAGTGGCTTGAGCAGAAGTTTAATGGGGGAGGGTAGCGGTTTGGGATGGAAAAACAGCTCTCTCATGTGAGAGGGGGGGGGGGGGCAGAAGCATGGCTCAGATATTGCTTGGCTTACTATGCAAACGTGTGCCTCAGCTATGCTCTCTAGGATCAGACAGCCGTGCATTTCTGTCTCACCCCTTTCCTTGTCTGCAATAGCTGCTTCATTGAGCTTGCAAAACTGCCTCTGAGCAATAAATCAGGTATGAAGAAGGAGGTTGTTTGCCAAGGGAGAAAAAGTGTCCGTTTTGAACTATGCATTTTTCTCCTTTTTCCCCTGGGCATCCTATGCAGGCTTCCTCCCCCCTGGGCCTTTTCACATAATTGCTTATCTCAACTTTTCTTTTATGGCAGCTAGTGGAGTTCAACACCATTGAGGCTTTGAGCCCAAGTGGCCACATCTGCGGTTTGTCACTGTTACCTCTGCAGTGGCATGAGGCCACCATAGTGTGTATAAGAGTAGAAGCCATAGGTAGCACTCTATCTTTTCAGACAGAAGACTCATGTCCAATGTATAACCCAAATGTTATACATTTGACAACAGCCTTTAGTGAATAGTACTAATAGGATAGAAGAAAGACAGCATGGTATATAGGCTGATCTTGTCAGATCTTAGAAGCTATGCAGGGTCAGTATCTGGATGGGAGGCCACCAAGGAAGACTCTGCGGAAGAAAGCAATGGCTAACCATCTCTGCTTCTCATTTGCTTTGAAAGCCCCTTGCTGGGATTGCCATAAATTGATTGGGACTTGATGGCAGTGACGTAATCCTTAAGGAAATGGCACTTGTGGGCTCGGTTCAGGTACATACTCTTGGCTTGATGGTCCCATACACTCAGTCTGAACGGACAAAAGGAAAAGAATTCAGAAAAGAAAACTGTAAAACTGCAATTAAACAGTTAACCCACCCTATGGTGATTATCTTATTAACCACATAGGATAAATAGCAGTAATATGTAAATAAGTTTATTTTTCAAATGAAAAATAGCAACGTTAATAAATCCTAATAAAAGGATCTGAAATAAGCAGATACGGTCTTAGATACCACAGAAGACTTTCACTGACTTGAAGGCTTTCACTGACTTTGTGCTTCCCACTGCAGATTTTCAGTTCCCTCTTCATATTCTTCCTGAGGGCCCCCGGTACCTTAGGAGCAACATTTGCGGGATTATTTTGGGGTACAGTGTGAGAAAGTCTCATTCCACTATCAGAAATCCTTTCCATCTGCAAGGGTTTACATTGAATCTAAGCCAACTAAAGAGAAAAAAAGGATTTCTCAGATCCTTTAATCAGGCATACAGTTTTAACCCTAACCCTGAAGCTCACAGCAACAAAATGAATTTTGATTCCCCAAAGTTACTGTAATCCCTAGTAGAAAACTTAACAATGGTATGAGGTTACTGTCATCCACAATGAAATTCCTGGTGGGAAAGGCCTCAGTGGCATAAAGTTACTGTAATCCACAGTCATGTTCCTACTAGTTAGAGCAGCCATCTTATTCATGCAAAGACATCAGTAGCTTTCCAAGGAAATTATTTTTTCTCTCTCCAGCTGATTGCCATCTTCTTTCCTCAGACACTTTCCTCCTCCTTATGGAATAAAATCCAGACTCCTGTTTCCAGTGTTTCCAGAATGTTGCAAGTCCTTAGCCCCTTTCAAGTGGAAGAGCTGAAAGTCTGTGCCTGTAATGCCTTATGAAAGGAACAGAGCAGATACTGCCACATATACCTTAATGACACCTAACTCTCTCTCTTTCTCTCTCTCCCTTCCTCTGTCTGTGTTTTTAGGGTTGGACCGTCTGAGGGCCAGGAAAAGGTTTGAGGCCTGGCTGTGGGAGTACAGCCTGCTCCCTCTGGAACTGGAAAGAATTGCTCATCCTACACCAAGCCCTGGGCAGAGGGGCTCAAGCACTGAAAACATGCCCATTTTGAAGCAGCTGGTGTCAAACTCTGCAAGCTCCAAACGTCGCTCCCGGGTGGATCTGACAGCAGAGATGATCAGTGCTCCCTTGGGTGATTTTCGTCATACCATGCACGTGGGCCGAGCGGGCGATGCCTTTGGTGACACCTCATTCCTGAACAGCAAGGCCGGCGAGGGTGAGCAGGAGGCTGCCGAGGAGACCAGTTCCTCATCCAAGCCCAGCCTGCTGTCTCGGAAGTTCCGCAGTAGCAAGCGGTCTCAGTCCGTGACGCGTGGCGAACGATGGGACATGCTGGGCTCTCTGAGGGACTCTGCTATTTTTGTGAAGAATGCCGTTTCCCTTCCTCAGCTCACTGAGAAGGAAGCAGACAAGAGTAGTGGGAAACAGCTGCCCAAGAGCCTTTCCTCCAGCCCGGTCAAGAAAGCACCCGAGGAGAAGAGCCCTGAAGAGAGACACATGAATGGTGCTGCTGCAGCCCCCGGCTCTGGACCCCACAGCCCTGGCTTGGAAGAACGGGATTTTGGTGACATAACCGACTTGCCTGTAGTTTTGCACAAGAACAGCTATGGCCTGAAGCATGCAGAGTCCATCATGTCGTTTCATATTGACCTTGGGCCTTCTATGCTGGGTGATGTCTTGGGCATAATGGATTCGTGGGAACAAGAGGATTCTGGTTACCAAGGGGCAGAGGAGCCCCAAAGAGATGCAGGTCCTGTGGAGGCATCAGCAGCACACTGGCTTAGCCAGGAAAGCAAACTTGCACAGGATTCCTTGGCCCATTGTGATGAAAACAGGGCAGCAACGTACAGTCCTGGCTCCGCCCGCAGCACTACAAGTCGTCTCACGATGGACAGCAGTTCTGTCTCCAGCTGTGCATCTGTGGGGGAAGAACAGCGTAGCTTTGCCTCCAAAGGACAAAACCATGGCATTCCAGAGGATATGAGGCATGAGGTGTCCTCTAAACAGCCGGATAAAGAATTCTCCTTCATGGATGAAGAAGATGATGAGATAAGAGTATAAGGAAAGTTGTTGGAGGTTTTTTTTTTACCTTTGAGAAGGATTAACTCGCAACTGATTTTGCAATGAATGACACTTTTCTCTGCAATGCCTTCAGTGAAATGAAGTAAAATCCTTTGCCAGTCTTCACCTTAGTTCCCTTAAGCAGGCTGTTGAGGAAAAAGGATTATTATTATTTTTTGCTTGATAAGTGAGGTCCCTTTTTTATGAAAGGAGGGAGAAAGGGAACCAAGTTGGAAAGATCACACCTAAATGGCTTCTGTGTATTTAAAAGACTTCATTTCTGTGATCTTGGAGCTGCTAAACAAATTGTTCAAGGAAACTTAATTTCGAGTAGAAAACTCCTATGTGAGAAGAGGATCTTTAAAACCCCAATTTTTGTTAACTTATCTACTTCCTGTTTAAAGCAATATAGAGCTGAAATACTAGAACAAAGCTCAAAAGACTCACTTCTTTTTAATATAAATATATTTTTTCCTTTAACATTTTTACTAGGTCTTGAAATTTTTTTTCCTAAGTGCCCAGGAGTATACTGTTCTGGACCTAGCACATAAGGATGATGCATATTCTGTAAAGGGCAAAAACATGGACATTCTAAATAGCCAGAATTCCAAATGTTTAGACTCTAACAATTCTTCCTCTGTGGGCAGGCCCCTGGGAAGATCAACAATCTCTGGAAATTGGACTAGAAAATAAGCAAAGTGGACAGCACTTGCTTGGGAGCAAGAAATGAGACAAATGTACATCTATTATGTTCCCCATTTAACATTGGGTCCCTCATTCAGTCTTTTTGGGGGATCACAAGGTGAGAGTAGTAAAAATGGTAGCATTTCTAAAAGCAGACCTTTCTACTCCTAAATAATTGTCACTTTTGATGGTGACAATGTGGATAACTTTATAGTGGCAGATTCTTGGCTACATTTTCCTTACTGAAGACTGTTCAGAATTCTCCAGTGTGAGTTGAATTCCAAGAATGGAATCCCAGTCTAGCTGCCTCCCACCCCCACTAAAGAGAGATCAAAATCTTCATCTGCCTGCATTCCATGCTTTTCTTCTTGAGAAAGCAGAGAGATGTCCTGTGAACTGTGTGGCTCAGGCATCCAATGGGGGACATTGGAGGGAGGGTGGGGGATTTTGTACATTTACATGTGTAAATGGAAAGTCCGGACGTAGCCTAACCTGTTAGTTACATCCTTTTCTTAGTTGAGATTCTAGAATATCAGCAAAGCTGACTAAAGCACAAAGAAGTTGGCACTCCCTGTTCCAGGAACAATGGAGGCCCTGCTTTGCTTGTTCCTCCCCACTGAAATGACATCCAAGACTCTCTTGTATTTGGGGGGTGCGCTTTACATTCCTATCAGCCCTTTTATTATTTTTGTTGCCTTTATTTGCATTTTGCTGGGCATTAAAACACTAACTTTTGCCTTATTTTGTTTTTTACTGTACATGAAATTTGACTGCCCCTTTGAGATCAGCCTTTCTCTCACCCTTGGATTGTGACTCTGTGTGTGTACAGGTGCTTGTTCTGTTCATCTGATGGAGGACTTTTTAAAATGCAAGAAAATTAAAACTACAGTGAAAAAAACCATTCTTAAATCTTCCAGGGTTTTTTTGGCTTGTATATTTGTGTGAGTTAAAAATGGGTTTTGATTAACTTGCACTGTTACTTTTGTAGAGTTGCAAGTTCTTATGTGGCTTGCTTCTGCTTGGAACATAATGTCTGATTTTAAAATGTGATTGGTATGTATGGATTTTTCTCCTTCAGTGGGGGGAAGTCATCCAGGAACTGGTTAGGTCACGCCTCTGCTCGCTCGATAGGCTATGCAAATTTCTTTTGTTGCATGGCTCCTATTGGAGTGGCCCTGGCTGACCTCTCCAGTTCCTGCATAGCCCCTGCGCTCCGTAGGAAGTCTGAAGCTCCTTTTTCAAGGGAACCCCACCACAACCCCCTCTGAATTCTCTCCCCCCCCCATTTAAATTAATTCAGAATTCTGTGGTGCTGGATTTCCCATCCTTAGTTCCACGTTGTCTTTAACCTGCTGCGTTCTAGTCTGATCAAAACAATAATCCCCAAGGCCAAGCGTGATATACAAGGATCAAGGCTGCTGGAGTTCATTGGATGGTTTCATTCCTGTCTCTCTGTAGCATTAGCTTGTGGATACAATATTCTCTCTCCTAGGATCAGTAAAGACTCCAGCAATATGGCAAAGATTAGGGCTGTTCTGTTAACATGTATGATGTGTTGGGAGTAATTGGTTACTTAGTCCAATATCCCTCCTCAGCTTAGCAGAGTGTACCTTGGCTACACACAGTAGAAGCCCTTCGTTTTCAGTGTGCTAGCAGAGTTACAAAGTTACACAGAGCCACTTTTCACTTTCAAGTCTAATAATAGTCCTTTTATTTAGGAACAACATTCTAGATAGTGAAGCTTAAGAGAGACAGAACTAACCTAAACTACCTTGGGATGGGTCTGGATTCAGAGAGGCATCCAGCCTCCATCATGGATGCATGTGAGAGAAAAGGTGGGGTGTGAGAGAGGGAATGGAAGGAAGAGAGGCAATTTCCTGAGATCTATCAATCCGCTTCAAAGGTACAGGGACAGGAGAGTAAACAGGAAGAAAACCCACGGCTTGCCCTGTCTATCTTACTAACTTGTTTGCAACTTCCCCTTGGAGGCTGAGGCTTAAGACAGCACCCAGGCCTTCTTTTCCAACATGATGATCTGTTAATAGTTCAGCAATTTCTGTGTCTGCATTCCTAAGCGAGCAATAAAAATGAATTTGTTGAACTGGGGGGGGGGAGGACTGCCTCCATACATTGTTGGTAGTAGATCACAAGTCACACAGGCCTGAGGTAATCTTGAATGATGCCACAGTACACAACGGCAACACAGAAACTGTTACCTTGTAATTTCCCTTTTTAATTGCTTCAGCAGTACCTAAGAAGGCAAGTGTGAATTGTACATCCTCTTTCTTTAACCAAGCTGCCTTTCACAAGAACTCCAGCTCTCTTCAGTTCCAGAGATACTTAGAGCTGATAGAGCTGCCAAGCCTCCTCCTATGGTGGGAGGAGGCCTCCTGCTGACAGCCCGTGTTACCTGCCACCACTTGGGGGGGGGGGATTTGTGAAAAACAAGGTCAACATTGTGTGCACTGTGACATCACTTTTGGGGGAAACTCAGAAGTGATGTTGGGTAGATCTAGAAATCACTGGAAATTCAATGGGTTTACCATCCTAGAACTACCTGACATCACTTCTGGGTTATCTTTGGAAGTGGTGTGCAGTTCACGCAATGCAATGCCATGCACTCCATGTCCCCACTCCAAGGCTCCTGCTGGTTGCCAGGCAGTAAATCTTTGATTAAAAGAAACTATCCACCTAATTTTTAAAAAAAGCTGCATTTCTAAGCTATACCATTGAAAGCTTGTCAACTTCAGTGGGCTTTGAAGGGTGTAATTAAGGGGTTCCCAGACCCCTGGTCTGAGCATGGGTTCCCCAATTTTTTAGCTTGGATCCACTCCCCACCCCGAACAGAGACATTCCCGGGCAACGTGCCTGACACAACGATGTCACCCAGAAGTGACATCATTACATAGTTGATGTTGGGGGACAACGCTCTAGTTTTTGGGCAAACTCTATGGTTTTGAAGCCAAAAAGCCATAGAGTTTTGCCGAAAAACTAGAGTGTCAAACCCTTCCCCCCCATTGGTGTTGCAATGACATCTCTTCTGGGTAACATTGTGCTGCGCACACAAAGGGCACGTGGCAGAAGATCCTAGGCCGGACCTGGGAGGGCCCCTCCCCCGGATCACAGGTAGGATCTGGCAACCCTAGTGTGAATCTGCTTAGGAGAGTGCTGTTGTCAGATACTGTTTCTCTAGAGTCCTGACTGTGTCTTGCTCACCTTCAGTCCTGGCATCTTGACTTGTTTTGTAAAGATGCTTTTCAGTAAATCCCCAAGTAGACCTGGACTCAGGACTATGGAGAGCCATGCTGCCACTGGATTTATAACTTTCTGTCCTCTGAGGATTTTATTCTTTAATATTCTCTCCACAAACCTGCCTGAAAATAAAAATAACAAAAACCAAACATTAAAAAATTAAATTCAACGTTAGAAAAACAGAAAGCAGTGCAGCATAAAAAACACATACCATATGTCATGAATGCTTAAAATAAGTTTCCAGAATAAAACAGTGGGTTTTTAACATTCAACTTCTCCATTAAAAGCCTGGGTGAACAGAAATACTTTGGCCTGGCGCCTAAAAGAAAGCAACATCGGTGTCAGGCAAACCTCAAGGGGAACAGCATTCCACAAGTGAGGTGCCACTACTAGAAAAGCCCTAAAGGTGGGAACACAAATAACAGGGCTTGTGAGGCAGCTTTTTAACTGGCGGGCATGGTGACATGGGAGGAAGCCGATAGCAAGCTGATCTTTGTGGCCCTCTCTGTCATTATCAATCCATTGTTTCCACAAAGGGGTGGTGTGAGCGGGCTTTCAGTGACCAAATGGAGCAGGGAACATACTTTCCTCGGGCTGCTGTCCTGCTATGTCAGTTTACCAAGAAGCCAGTTTCCTGTGGCCTTCCACTGGCTGAGATATTTGTGAGAACAAGCCCAGAATAAAGTCTAAACAAGAGACTGTATCGAATGTAAACAACTGTATAAGCCTAGTGTGTGGATGATGATGGGGTAATGCAGAATGATGGCATAGAGCAATGGCACACTTCCAGTATGTTGGAGAGCTGAGTTCTTGTTGTGCAAGCAAATGCATAAGCAGACAATGTAGAATCTATCTGAGATTTAGTACTCAATACAATGGAAATGTTAGCCTGGGACACTGATTCTTTGTTCTAGGAAAGAAAGAACAGCAGTGGCAGCTGGTTGGGGGAGGCCCATGTGCTCAGTTGAATGGCTGTTCAGCCTTCTGTTTCCTAACCGGCCATTGCATTTAGGTAGAGCAGCAGGGCTGGACAAAAGGGAAAGTTGCATGTTGCAGGGTTTCTA